CAGCAATCAGTGCTGCAGTGCTGGAAAGGCTAGTTCTCCAGTATGAACTGAAGTTAAAGTCAGCCAAGTGGTACGCCACGATTGACATTGCTAACACGTTCTTCTCCATTCCGATAGCGCCAGAGTGCAGTCCACAGTTTGCATTCACTTGGAGAGGCATCCAGTACACGTGAAATCAATTCCCACAATTTGCCATGGACTGGTCCATACTGCACTGGAGAAAGGTGGGGCTCCAGAACACCTGCAGGACATTGATGACATCATTTTATGGGGGGATACAGCCAAGGAAGTCTTTGAGAAAGGGAAGAAGATAATTGAAATCGTCCTGAAGACCAGCTTTGCCATTAAGCAAAAGAAAGTTAAGGGGCATGCAAGGGAAATTCAATTCCTAGGAATAAAATGCCAAGATGGGCATCTGCACATCACAATGGAGGTGATAAACAAGGTAACAGCCATGGCCCCACCAACCTCTAAAAAGGAGACTCAGTCTTTCCCTGGAGCTGTGGGGTTCTGGAGGATGCACATCCTGAACTACAGCCTGATTTTGAGCCCTCTATACCACGTAATCCATAAGAAGAACGATTTTGAATGGGGCCCTGATCAACAACAATCCTTTGAACAGATTAAATGAGAGATTGCCCAAGCAGTAGCCCTCAGGCCAGTCCGGGAAGGGCAGGAGGTTAAGAACATGCTCTTCACCGCAGCCAGAGAGAATGGCCCTACCTGGAGACTCTGGCAGAGAGCACCTGGGGACACCCGAGGCTGAACTCTAGGCTTTTGGAGCCGGGGATACAAAGGCTCTGAAGCTAATTATACACCAACTGAGAAGGAGATACTGGCAGCATATGAAGGAGTTTGGGCTGCCTCAGAAGTGGTCGCAGTGAAACACAGATCCTCCTGGCACCCCGACTGCCGGTGCTAGGGTGGATGTTCAAAGGAAAGGCCTCCTCCACACATCATGCAACAGATGCCACGTGGAGTAAATGGGTTGCGTTGATAACACAACGGGCTTGAATAGGGAACCCCAGCCGCCCAGGGATACTAGAGGTGATTACGAACTGGCCAGAGAGCAAAGATTCCGGGATGTCACCAGAACATGAGGTGACACGTGCTAAGGAGACCCCACCATATAACAAGATGCCGGATGAGGAGAAGCGATATGCCCTGTGCACTGATGGGTCTTGTCGGATTGTGGGAAAACATCGATGATGGAAGGCTGCTGTATGAAGTCCCACACGACGGGTAACTGAAGCTGCTCCGGGACAGGGTGAATCGACCCAGTTTGCAGAGGTGAAAGCCACCCAGTTTGCTTTGGATATTGCTGAGTGGGAAAAGTGGCCGAGGCTCTACCTCTACACTGACTCGTGGGTGGTGGCGAATACCCTTTGGAAATGGTTGCAGCAACAGAAGCAGAACAACTGGCAACGTATGGTTAAAACCATCTGGGCTGCTGAAGTATGGCAGGACATTGCAGCCCGTGTGGAAAAGCTTGCTGTGAAGGTGCACCACGTGGATGCCCATGTACCGAAGAGTTGGACCAATGATGAACATTGACACAACCAGCAGGTAAACCAAGCTACTAAGATTAGAGTGGCTCAGTTGAACTTGGACTGGCAGCGCAGACCTGGACTGTTCATAGCTCGGTGGACCCGTGAGACCTCGGGCCACCAAGGTAGGGATGCAACACACAGGTGGGCATGAGATCGAGGGGTGGACCTTACTATTGACACCATTGCAGAGATCATCCACGGATGTGAGGCGTGTGCTACAAACATGCCAAGGGGGTGAAGCCCCAGCAAAATGGAGAGCGATGGCTGAAATAAGGATATGGAGAGGCCTGGCAGATCGACTACAACACACTGCCACAGACCCGCCACAGGAAGCGCCACGTACTCACAATGGTGGAAGTAACAACTGGATGGCTGGAAGCTCATCCAGTGCCCCATGCCACCCTCCGGAACACCATCTTGGGCCTTGAGACCCAAATCCTGTGGTGACACGGCACCCCAGAGAGAATTGAGTCAGATAATGGGACTCACTTCCGAAAGAACCTCATAAATGCCTGGGCAGAAGAACACGGCATCGAGTGGGTCTACCATATACCCTACCACGCACCAGCCTCTGGGAAGATCGAGTGCTAAAATGCACTGTTAAAACCCACATTGAAAGCTTTTGGAAGTGAGTGGGACCTTCAAAGACTGGGACATGCATCTAGCAAAGGCCACCGGGCTAGTCAACACAAGGGGATCTGCCAGTCGAGCTGGCCCGGCTCAGTCAAAACCTCCATGTGCTATAGATGGGGATAAAGTCCCTGTGGTGCGCATAAGGAATATACTGGGAAAAATGGTCTGGTTTAGTACTGCACCAGGCAAAGGGAAAGGCAAACCCATCCATGGGATTGCTTTTGCCCAAGGACCTGGGTGCACCTGGTGGGTGATGCAGGACAATGGAGAGGTCCAAGGAGGGACTTCATTCTGGGTGAGAACATGCCGTAAAATACGTTGTGCCTCTGTAAATTATTACTTTGTTATTATTAACTGCTATATGGCAGCTGGACATGACACAGATGGTATAGAATAAAGGGGTGGATTATGTCCTGATTCAGCTGGGATAAGGTTAGGTTTCCCCAGCAGAGAGAGTAGGGGAAGGGATCTCCAGCCAGGTTATTCATACCATGCTAGCATCAGGTCCAGGGGCAGGAACCTTTTTACCTGGCTCTTTGGCGGGCTTGGTGGCAGGAACCTTTTTTTTTGTAACCAGCTAGCGGTATTTCTCTGTATATCGTTTGCCTTGTTCATTTTTATTGCTGTTTATTGTTGTTACCATTGCTAATGTTGCTGTTCAGACTGTTCTATCACTCTGATGTATTAAATTTCTTCTTATTCTAGCCCAGGGTCTCTGCTTAACTTCCAGCCCAACCAGCTGAGGGTGGGGGAGGGGCAACGTGCTCTCCGGTCCCGGCAGGGCTTAAACCTGCACACTCTTTATATCTTTTGACTTGTATACTGTTATTACTGTTTGTTGTTATTAGTGGTATTGTTGTTGTTCAGATTGTTTATTACACTGTTGTATTAAATTTCTTCTTATTTTAACCCGGAGTTTGTGCCCTACTTGTGTCCAAGGGTGGGAGAGGGGCAACGGCCGTGTGCTCTCTGGTCCCGGCTGAGTTTAAAATTATCACAATATATAAGTAACCTTTTTGTTGTTTTGTTTGTTTGTTTGTTTGTTTTCAGGAAAATATCAAGATTTACTTTCAGGAGACACAAGAGCTTTCAAAAGATGTGTTTGAATTTCCAGGGTTTCTAAAAAGTACCTATGCTTATCAAGCATAACAACTCCTCAGAATGTATTACGCTCAAAGCCTAGAAAGATTCTACAGAATTAAAACAACTGATTTGAGGATGTCAGGAAGATAGTATTTACTGCTAGGGACAACATGTTGAATTGCTAAAAAAATTAAAATCTAAAGAAAGATTGCAATTACATTCAGTTTTAACACTGATGGTCCCCTTTATGTTTGGAAGCAACATGCTTTGCCTTATGTCATTCACTGTTCTCTCATCTTCAGTATGTGACGTGCTATATGTTTCAATTACCCAACTAAGCCTCTCTGAGAATCAGAGCTGTGTTTTTGTTTTAATTTAACCTTTAAATATGGGCAGAAAAAGTTGGCTACAAGAGGATAGGAAGGAAAATAAAAACCTGCATTTATTGTAAATGCAATGTATTTCCCAGCTGTGTGCAGCACAAACACAACTCTAAGTGAAAATTATCTTGGGGGGCTGATGCATTACTTCAGACCCCATCTGAGTTGTTAATAGGGCAAGGTTTCAGTACAGCACATTCATTGGTACAGGGTTAAAAAGTCTACAGCAGACATCATTGGTACAGGGTTAAAAAGTCTACAGCAGACATCACTGTAGAAATAACCTCAAAGACAAATAAGGTATTCTGATTCTGTTCAAACACCAAGAGGGAACTGAAGAATCAGGAGATAGAATTCCTCTTTCCCAGTAGCCCATACCACAGGAACTTTCAGGAAACACACCAAAACTGCTATAGCAAGTTTATGCCTTGTTACTAGATATATACAGAATTATCAATAAATTTACACAATAATTTTAATGAACTGGAATTTGAACATCTTATCTGTAAAACCAAGATTCCTGTGGAAACGGCAACATATCTTTTTAAAAAATGAGGGCTTTCAGGTCTTAAAGCTTGTTCTATTAATGGCACTAATGAAAAACTAAACGCAACTGCCAGATGCCAGTGACATTCAGGTGAATAATATTGCATACTTGATAGCAACAGCTGCTTCTGATAACACTTTTTCATTTTATAGTTACAGCAAATTTAGTATTTGACCTAGATTGTTTAAAGAGTAAAAAAAATAAACAAGGCTACCCAAAGGCTTATCTCTGCTTAACCACAGGTCTGAACACTGACATCATGTGGACTACACCAGCAGCATCCTAATGTTGGTGAATGACATCTGTTTACACAAGCTGAAGATGAATGTCACAATAAAATTGACTCAATAGCTGTAATCAGTAGCCTTAACATCAAAAAGATGTTGCAGTACTGTGTTTTATAAGATTATGTTAATATCCTTAAAAATTTATAGTGCTAGGAGCACTGTAAACAGTTTTTATTTATTTACTGAAGTTTACATAAAATGTATTAATCCAGTTTAAAAAATGTCTCAACACAAAAGGCACTAGTTTGGCTTTTTATTCATAAAGGATAAAGCATCTCCTCAACTAACAATTCTGAGGTGTCCACAGTGGTTATGTTTATCTACAATTTAATATCAGCAAAGAAAATTTGTTTATATTCCAGATTACTGTAGAAAATGTGTATATGACACTTATGGCATGAAAAATTTGTAACAAGCAAAAATACTCTGTTTTAAAAGTAATCTCCCTTCCAAATAGGTTTTTATTTTAGTGCGCTCTCTCTGTAGGCTTTACATTTAGAATCCTCTATATACAAAAAGGTACAAAAAATTGGTACAATATTTATTGCAACAAATTAAGGATGCCATAATATACACAGATTAAATTAGTCCCCCCAACTTGCATACCCTCTTGCTTCTTACTCCTCCCTTGAAGCAGTCTTCTCCAGTTCTGATTGTTTCACTGAAAGGCATGTACTTCTCTACAACAGAAGAAACAGATGCATTAATCTGAAATGCCATGTTTCAAAGAGAACTTTAGCCTACATTTTTTCAGATCAAACATTACAAAAACCCCCAAGAGATGTAACATTTTATTATTAAATTTGCCTGTAAAAACTCAGTTACCATGTTACTGTGAAGCAAAGTTCATAAACCTCCACACATTTAAACCTCCCAAATACAGAAATGGCTTGCTCATAAAAAACCTGGGTTTTTACCATGATGGATATATTTTTAAACTTCCAGGGCTCCTGAGTTCTTATTCAAACTTTGGCAACAGGAATGCTATCATAAATAGGATAAGTGTTTTTCCTTGTGCCTTGTAGTGCAGCAAGTAGTTTGCGTATAAAGTGATCTAATGAAGATTGTAAACTATTAGCATGAATATACCTTTGAAAAACAAGATGTGATATTAGCATACTATACTTCAGTTGACATGTAGGTAAAGTTGCATGGTGAGAAATCAAAGGTTAGAATTTCAGACTTCCAACAAGTAATAGTATGCTATTGAACAAAATGGTGAAAACATCCCATTCAGGTAAGCTGCTGCAAACTGAAGAGGCACAAAGACTAGCTACATGGGTGATGACCACAATGGGAGTACACTTAAATTGCATCTATTTTACAACAGAGGGTACTGTGGATATATTTTTCATATAGTTCTGAAAGAAAATAACAATAACTGCATCACCACACCAGTAACTTAGTAACACTGCTATGCTGATTTTAGGGAAGAAGTCCATTTCTCTGCCTAGCCTTGGAAAGACTTAACCAAAACAGGTCTATAGGGATTTCTAACATATATGTCTGCCATGGTGTGATCACCTTAAAAAAAGCTAAATTGGTTTAGTCAATAAAAATGAAAGCAGAGTCGATACTACTGCAGTATAATAACAAGTCATAAAGAATGAAAAAAGACTTTATTTTTTCCTATATAAAATGATACTTGTATAGTTTGTTGTCCCTAATAAATATATATGAACCCACCAGAACATGTAGATTAGAATTTCCTGTAATAGTTTAGTTTTTTAGTGCCTTCCATTATGAGTTATGAGGGCACAAAACTTATGAACTGAATAAGGTGATTGCTGACTGTAGTTAAGCAAAACTGCAACTGGAATTTACTTTAAAAAGGTCTAAACTCAAAAACCTTTAAAGGCTGCTCTTCTTTGTTCCCTAATTAGTTGCTCCAAGCCCGACTGCATATTTATGCCACCTTTAAAGAAAACAACCAACCATGCCTCTGAATTACTGCAAATGTCAGGACAAAGTGTAATGACATCTCCTAAGAACATCTGAGTATCATTATCACCAAGTTGTCCTCAGAGACTCTGATTACTTATGCTTTTTCTACTTCCTTTCATCATTTCTGGTTAAGAAGTGACATGAAGACTGATTACTAAGCTTCACTGCAGATGCAAAAGACTTAGCTGAAACAAGGGGAAAGAAATTAACTGAAAAAAGTACATTCCAAATTAAGGACTTTTTTACTTTTTTTTTTAAGTACTCTACATTAGTTTTCAAACTTCTCTCCCAGCAATGCCATTGTTTTGCAAAGTTGGGACAGCATTTTATCAGGCTGTTCCACAGAGATTTGTGCAGTGCATTCACATTGTTCAGCACTTTCCTCCTACACACAAGTACTGTTTCAAGATAAAAAGTGACTTTTAAAATTTTGAGAGCCTCTCCCCTTAATGGAGAACACAGCAAGCTCTCAATATATATAAATGGAGTACATTCACATTATTTACTAAACATAACTGAAGTCCTTGTTTTCTCAAGCTCTTAACATCAAAATAATGACAAAGCCTGATAGCACTTACTTTTTGAGCTATGTTGAAACAACAGTAACATCTGTATTATCTACAGCTATTCTCTTCTGAAGGTACTACTTCTCATCTGTTTAGCCAGTTTTCCTCAGCAAGTTAACAGAAACATCTGTTGAAATTGTTTGGTAACATCACTCAGTTACTCAAATACAATTACTCTTCTTGCAGTTTGACTGAGAGGTTGACATTATCATCTCTTTTGTGAGCAAACATAAAATTTTAGGTCTTTTTGCAGCCCCATAGGGCAGAAATAAAGTTATATCTGTTACCGATTAATGTTACTGATTTGTATTAGAGTTAAGTATGTTTGATTTTAATAGGAATCTAGAATTATAAGAAATATTTTAGTAGAAATTTTATATCTATTGCAGTTTGCACATTTAACCAGTGACGGACTGCTACTATGAAATCCTCTGTATAGCCCCATACCAAGGCCAAAGGAATTGGTCAAAATCATCTAGTAGGAATATTTAGAATTTAGATAACTGGCTTAAGATTCAAGATAATTTGGATACAGTGTTTACATACAGGAGTATTTTTATCACCCAGGAGAATGCATAATATGTCAGAACTTAGAATTAATGGGAACTGGGAAGAGTCGAATGAAGCAACTTGTAGTTACCTGCCAAGAAACAGGGATCTTAAGCAATAGGTAATTCCGTCAGGGGGAGATCGAGACCACCGACTCATGGACCACCTATTCATATTACCCCCCAGATCAATTTCTAGACATTTCTAATCTTTGTTGTGCAGAATCGGAAGAAGGAGGACAGTATGTTGATGATGTCCAGGAAATAATATGTTTATGCATGAACACTTAGTGAATATGTATAAGTTCTATATAAGATGTATGATTTTGGTGCTTGGTGTGCGTTGTGCACTCACTTGCACACCGGGCTGTCAATAAAGAAGTGTCTGGTGTTGATAAATTCTTTATTCTGAGTTTTTGCCAACATGTCTACACCCCAAGTTATATCACTCTATGTATCTATCCCAAACTATGACATGCTCAAACACTACACACCACTTCTCTCTCCACTTCTAGCTCTTTAGACTTGGATCAAAATATCAGGTATTGCTTTTTTTCAGCTAGTGCTTGTAAAATCAAATACTACTTATAAAGCAGAAGTTCTTTCATCGACAATAGAGCACAGCTTGTGAGGAAATATATCTATTAAAATAAATACTTGATTTATATTACATTAGATACACCATCAGCTAAATGAAACACAACTCTCCTGGTTTAAATAGGATAGGGTTAAGTTTCCCCAACAGAGAGAGAGGGGGAAGGGATCTCCAGCAGGGTTATTCATACCATGCTGATGTCAGGTCCGGAGCGGGAACTTTTTACTTTCTATTTGGCTTTTTGGTGGTGGTACCCACACGTTGGCTTAGTTCTGTGGTGATTTTGTGGTATTTCTCTGTATATAATTTGTCTTGTTCATTGTTATTGCTGTTTATAGTTGTTAACATTGCCACTGTTGTTGTTCAGATTGTTTAAGACACTGCTGTATTAAATTTCTTCTAATTTCAGCCCGTGTTTGTGCCTCACTTCCAGCCTGACCGGCTGAGGGTGGGGAAGGGAAACAGCAACATGCTCTCCGGTCCCAGCAGCACTTAAACCAACACAGCCTCAATTGGCGCCCAACGTGCAGCAAAAAATAAGAATAAAAGGGGACAGACCCTGACCAGAGTGTGATAGAGCAATCTGTTGGGTGTAATTTTTTTGTTTGTATTTGTTTGATAAGAAAATGCTTGCAATGCTGGCCCTATGTTTGCATGGTGGAGCTGGATTACTCCTTATATCCAGTGTATGATCCAAGAGGTAGCATTTATTATTGGTGGAAAATGTATAAAGGGTCTTTTGTTGTTATACAGGCTACTGAATGCTTAAGCTGCCTTTCTATCACTTGCATGGGCTGATGTCTCAGCCATTAGAAGTAAATATTTCCCCTCCCAACAGAAAGGCAGAAGGTGGCACACACCACGAGGCACGCTGTGGTTTTTCCTCCATGGAGAAAACATGAGGAAGCAGGATGGACAGACAATTGCCGTCCTAGCAGCACGAGTAGAGCAGCTGAAAGGGAAGACCATCACAAAACGGGAGTCCTCCATGAAAAGCGCAGCTCCAGTGTCCAGTCAGAAATCCCCCAGGCAGAATAGAATGGTGAACGTTATGTCTGACCCTCTTGAGGGGACCAGTAAATCCTTCTTGCAAGAAGTGAGTGATGATGAGCAGGATTAGAGGGGCCCTGCCTCCAGC